CCACCGAATTCAACTTTATTCAGCAGATTCTGCACGACCTGGTGAGGCTCCTGGCTTGCTGCCCCTCCTCCCTCCACCTGCTCCTTTCATCAGCAGTCCCCCGCCTAGCTCACTCCCCTTCTCTTTTCTTTTCCAGCTCAACCCTTTTTTTTAAGAATAGCAGCCTTGGCTCCAGGTATTACGAGTGCAAGCTGACCTTGCTGAGGTGAGAACCCCGAGAGATAGCGGCCCAAAGTTGGAAGGGACCCATATCCTTAATGTACATTCTTGCTGTATATAAGGCCACCTCCTTCTGCCTCTTTGTCTCCCAAGCTGGGATAGCTTTAGCCCTATTCACAGCTGATCCATTTGGATGCATTGATCTCTTTTCCTATCCTCAGACCACAGGGATTAAGAGTCAGAGTGAAATAGCAAAGTTTGGAAGAGAGGCAGGCTTGTGGAGGGGGCAGGGAGAAGGGAAGAGATGCCAAGTTCCATCTTGGATAGTCTGTGTTTTGAGATGCCAGTAGTACACACAGATGGGGAGAATCTTTTTGCCCTTAGCTCACCCAAAGACATGGTTGGGACACTTCAAAAGTGTATTTTACTAACAGGATTTTACACACACGCACACGTGACAAATGGTTAAAGGATATGGGCAGACAATTTTCAGAAGGTCAAACATAACTTGTGAATAATCACTTGGAAAAACATTCAACCTCACTAATAATCAAAGAGATGCAAATTGAACAATACTGAAGACTTAACGAATAATAATCAAAATGGCAGAAATAATCAAAATCAGTCACTCGAATTTGTGGAGAAACATCATTACATCATTCACTGATGATGCAGTTGCAAAATTGCAGAATATCTTTGGAGCACAGACCATCAATATATAGTAAAAGTGACAAAAATGATCAGATTCATCATGTGGTTAGCAGAGAAGAGCCAATTATAAAACATTTGTATGTGCTCCAAAATCCACATGAACATTGCATCAGCCAAGCACCTTGCACATGCTCATAAAGACTGGACTCATTAGCCAGTCTTCTTCTTATATTAGTTTTTAGGAAAGAATTCAAAGAGTTCATATGAAGATTAGGTAGGATCCCATCTACTAAAATTCTACAGGTTTTCAATCCTTTCTGCTGTCTCCTACCATCTGGAAGGAGTGTACCTAAATACATTCACGCCTTGTCCCCCATGTCTCACCTGTCTCCATCCTGCCTCAGCCTTTCCTTTCTCACATAAGAGGCTAGAGATTGCATTGCTCATGCCCTGTTACAACAGTTAGCTCACTTTTAGCTTAGGGCTGAGGTAATGGCCCTCAGGTCCACATGGTCCTTTTTCTCTGCTATTTTATGGAGTTTATGTAAGGAAAAAGTCACTAATTACAATTAATTCTAATAGCTCTGACCTCCCACACCACCCTGTTAGGAAATTCCTCACATTCAGAGGATTGACTCTGAATGTTTAATTTTTAATTAATTCAAATTTTGTCTATTTCCCATTAACCCCTGGCTTCTTTATATTTGGGGCAAAATCAAGACACAGAAAACACTTAGGTAAAAGAATTAATCAGAGTGTCATAGTGCCTGTTACTGGACAGGCCGAGAGGGAAAGAGCAGACCTTTTGGAAGGTGCACTCAGTCCTTGAAGGGGTGAGTACAGTCAGTAGCTTTCAGTTAGAATTCTCTGTTCTGAGATCCCTCTTAGGGCCTCAATGGCCTACCTTGAGCTTTCGTTTCTCTGACGTGTCTCACGTCTTCTTTCAGTTCCTTCTTTTGCCTGTTACTCCTGTGTTGCCATTTTTTTCCAGCTCAG